ATACCTAAAAATGCATATCTATATATATTATATATACCTATATACGTTTATAATACGATATACATCACATCAGTAATAATGTAAACGGGGACGTAAAATATTATTATACGTATAAATAATAATGGCCCCACACTAGTCGATGCGTACACGCGGTGCAGTATCGTCTCGAGATTCTCCGGGGCGGCGGCGTGGAGGAGCGTGTAAAACGCGCTAACGACAATGGCAAGCGATTTATAATTTTTGGACCGCGCGACCTCACCCGGCGAACGCGCGCGCGGACCGCCACGCTACAGCCCGCGAGATTAATATCGTTCGACAGGGCGGTCTCATTGTGCCCCTTAATGATCGCACACAAACACATAGTACGTATACATACACGCGAACACTGCACCAGCGCGTTTATACTCCCAAAACACCCATTACAGAGGTCACGTAAATTACGTACAGGCAGGTAGGTAGGTGTATACGTGTGTGGTTGTCGTTGTATTATGTATAGATGATGTATATACACCTATTATATTTACTGCGCGTATCAAGCACTGCTGCAGACGAGCTCTATTCATTGCTAATTTGAACATCTTTAGACCGCTATTGATATGATATACGCGCACTCCTCTCATGCATATATACATATATTATATTATGTGTTTATACACATACAACGATATTATACTGATGCAACGACACGGCCAAGCTCATTTGTATCCGCCGAAGGTATAATAATATCAAGTATAAGCACAGACATACACACACAAACACACACTCACATACACACACACACTAGCACAACGATCACCGGTGGTCCTCTTCGCTTGCTGTTCGACAGTCGTACACGCAACACGCACCGGCTGTTTTATAATATTATATTCTTTAATATGTGTTTTAAGTAGGTCCTTCAAACGAATCCTTCACGTATGTAAGTGATAATATTGTACTATTAGGTCGATTGATCGACGCAAGCTTTTTTTTTTAATTAATTTTTTTTTTCGATCAATTTGGTTACTATGATTTTTTATATCCGCGGATCACATGTTTAGTTTTATATTTTTTAGGTACGAGTTTTTAAAAGCATTAAAGCTTTTAAGAAATAGATATACCATATAAATCCTAATTCTATGGAGTAATACGATAGTAACGCGCTGAAGCGGTGTATCACATTTGCCGGTACTATACAAATTCACGTGTAGATGCGTTTGTATACGTTCTCAAAACTATTACAATATAAAAGTATATTATTATTCATTATTAAATATTAAAATATTAATCATTATTCAAAAATCACTTCACATTGTATCCCGATCGTGCGAATCGTGTTAGATATTGTATTATCACGGTAAAAAAATACATTATACACCAGAAGTTGTGATTTATACTAAGTTTATTCCGTTGATCCGTTATTTAATAAATAGATAAGTTTGATTTTTATTTCCCTTCATAATTATATCTATTTATTATTTTATAATTCATAAAAGAATCCTTATACCTATAATACCTATAGGTACATCATGTACCTAATACCACCAAATTATTATGCAATTTTCAGACCTGTTCTTTTTGACGAATTCACTTAAAGAAGTTTAATAAAAGCTTTTTTGAAACTGATAATTTTATACATATTTGTTTATCATGAATTAATTTAGTTTAACGAAAAACTTATAAATAAGCGTAGTAATCTCAATGGCTCACAAAATGTACTGAGCTTACTGTATGTAAATCGTAATAATCGGAGAGCGCTGCTCGAAAAAGTTTTGTAAACGGGTCCGAAAAATTATTATTTTATTATATTATTTAGATTTTTTTATTCATTTTCCGACAGAGTAAATATTGTATACAACAACTAGCTGACGTTTAATCAATAGCCGGTAATCAAATTACGGGAATCAAACATTGTACTCGAGCACCGCCCCAATACTGCATTGATAATTATATTATTTTCATTCGTGTGAAACCGTACATGAAAACGCCCAAAATCCACAGTAATTTACGACGACTCTCTCAATTCTGCCCTAAGCAAACATCAAGCCTAAATTGTAATCGCAATCGCTTGAGTAAGATATTTACAATTTTTAGATATCTAAAAATACAGTTTTTAAACATTACTCACGATTTTAAAGGTGATCATTATCGTAATAAGTTAGATTAAGTAAAATGCACCGAATAATTTAGAGTAATGTTTGGCTAAATGTTGTGGTTAATAATAACGATTTACCACAATATTCCTGAAGTATATAACATTATTCCACATTTCAAAAAGTAGAATCCAATAAATTCCACCAAAATAATGGAATATGATAATTGTTAAACCAATTACTACTCATCAATGTGAGTTAATCCATCAATACAAATACTTGCAGAATCTATTAAACATATTATAAAATTACCAAACATTTTAAAATGATTTTTTTCGAAAATCAACTTTCACGTTATCACGTCTACCTAAGTATTCTCGGCAAATAAACTAAATATTATATAGGTATAATTACAATGAAGTCGTACCAAGGTGCTAATAAATCGGTTAACCGCAGAAATAATTACATAACTAAACAGTTATCATTTAATATATCAATATTACAATACATTAATATTTTGTGCCACTTTCAATTATTTTGGTATATTATTCTTAATTTTAAATTTAGTTTATACTTGATATTTTCTTATTTATATATTACATTATTATTTTTTTTTTTTGTATCCGATTTTTGGGAAAATTTTTGTTGGAAAAATTATTTTTCTTAACACATGATGACTTCTAGACTTTTACTTTTAAATCACATGACACGACACGGTATTCCACGCACCAATACTTCAAGATAAGCCATAAGTGATGCATATACCTATATATATTCTATTTATTCTACGTAATAACACTATTATACAATGTAATTCATAAACAAAATATATAGTTACGTGTATAAGAATTACTAGGTTTATTTTTAAAAATTATTGCGTATAATAAAAACAAAGTAGGTATTCAGAAATTAGCAACTGGAAAATAATAAATAATATCGGGTTCCCTAAAAGTAATATTTTTAATTATATGATTGCAGTTAGAATTTTTATACTTAAAATGTCATTTTTATTTTTAAAAAACAAATTATACAAAAACTTTAACAATTAAAAAATTTAAATGTAAAATAAGACTTGTACACATACACTCGTTATTAATATCTTATTACCTCATGTCGCCCGTGTAATGTGTACACCAACACCAACGGCGTTTGAAAAAAATAAATACCATAAATCTTTTAATTAGGAGGTAAATGTTGAATTATAATAATACAATTTTCTCGAATATTATATATAGCTGTTAGGTATATAACTATCTTATTATGGAGATATAATATATATTATATTGGTGTTAATACAACACGTCTTTTTTGATGCGATATATCTGTATATTTAGTAGGTACCTATACCGTTGCACAACAACCAATATATTTTATATGCACAGTGACTGCGGCAGCCCCTAAGGCTAATGATAAAATAATATACTAGTGTACATGTGATTTTTTTTCTTTTCGCCAATAGATGTGTTTTGCTCTCTACAACACACACACACACACAACTAGCACACGATCTTAACGAGCTGCAAGGCCGTCGTTGTCACTGAAGTGCGTTCTTTTATATACATAATATAACCTATATAAATATATATTTACATGTACACTGTATAGTATGTTTTTGTGTAATAGAAAAGTTGATGTCGAACAACAAACACACACGCGCGCCTGTGTGTAATACTTTAAGTGTGTATATTGTATAAAAGTAATATAATAATAATAATAATAATAATTTTAATACACATACGCATACACGCCACAAAGACAGAACATAACGGCAGCAGAAGCAGCTATTCGTCGTCGGGTGACCCGGCAACGTCGAAAAACGCACCCGAGACGGCGGCATAAATTATTATTATATACGCTGCGCATACTGCTCCGGCAACGTTCCCCCATTTAAGGACCGCCGCCGCTGTAACCACCACGCCCTTGTCTACCGACCGAACATGGCTCCGGCATTTCAATAATAATAATAATAATAATAATGGGAGAAATATTTCGAAATTAAACGTTCGGGCGCAGAAAGACGCCACCGCTCAATATTATCATCGAGCATATATTATCTACTAAATGACAGTGTGTACCAATATATAAATACATATACCTACTTACACGCTCAATGTTATTGACACAATCTATGCGTATAACAGTTATCAGCAGTTGGTAATTAATATATAGCTTTTTTTAAACGAAAGAACCGTTTAGACTATAATTTGTCCTTTCTACTTTAATTTTTAAGCATTTCTACGAGTGAAACAATCCACATTATTTGCATTATTCATGTTTTCTAATAAACCAAAAGAAAGAAATTACTTTTTTATTTATCAAGATAATTCAAAAAATTTTAATATTTTTTCTACTTTATATCTTTCGTGGGAGTCGCGGAGGACAAATAGGTACCTATATTCTTGTTTATGAGAAACGTAAACCAAAAAAGTTCAGTAATTACTTTCTGATGTACATTATTATATTTATAATTATTTACCAAGAAAATTAAACTTTACTAATAATATGAAGGCTTACATTTTAAAATAAACTGCAAATATCCATAATCTATTGTGTCATTCAAAATCGCTTAATTCCTATAAACTTTGCATGTACCTATAAACACCAAACAATTATTTGAATTACATTGTTAACTACTCTACTTCCTTTTGACTATTCATCCATATACCACTCATCGGCTCGTTCACACCACAAAGCGTTATATTAAGTTTTATAATAATACCGTAAAAAATGATATGCACACGATATATTCCATTAAAAACGAATATAAAAACAACCCAACATCGCGATAACATTATATATATTCAAGTGTACTCCTAATGTACCTCCACAGTGTCTGTCGATTTTTTGATAGTGTTTATACGTGTTGTTCGTATTCCGATATAAGTATTCGTTTCTGATGATGTGTATAAGACTTATGTTTTCTGATTTCAGCGAACGGCGCGTATCAGCCAGTGGACGTGAAGAGACAGAGGACCGCGTACACAAGGTATCAGGTGCTAGAGCTGGAGAAGGAGTTTCACTTCAATAAGTACTTGACACGTAGACGGAGGATTGAAATCGCTCATTCGTTGGTACTGTCCGAGCGGCAGATAAAAATATGGTTCCAGAATCGACGTATGAAGTACAAAAAGGACAACCATCTTCCCAACACGAAAAACGTGCGCCGGAAAAACGGAAGCACGCAACCGGCGGGAAAAAAGTCCCGGGCCAAAAACAATAACAACAACAATAATAGTAACAACAACAACAACAACCATCAGCAACCGCTGTGCTCACCGTCTGGATTAAAAATCGATTCGCACGATATGTCACCGCAACAACAACCCGAGTTGAGGTTACAACAACAGAGTGATACCGGGTCGACGTCGCTGATGACCGCCATAATACCGTCGTCATCGACGTCTTCGTCTTCGTCGTCGTCTGCCGCCGCGTCGGTCGCAGGACACAACAATCCAGCCGCCGCTATGCAGCAACAGCTTCATCAACAACAACAACTTCAGCAGCAACAACAGCAACAGTTACAACACTGTATGAACCACCGGCCAACGCATCTGTCTCAACACCTAGGGCAACAGCAACAGGGTTTGGCCATCGGAGTCGGAGCCGGTGAGTATGGCCTCACTCAGCTATAACGGCAGGTTTGCAGATCGTGAGCCCGTTTTCCAAGGTATAAGTTACTTGACATAAAATGAAAATATACGAAAAAATAACTATAAAATGAAAAAAAAAAAAATACGAAGTGGCCACCGTGTTATGATCAATATAGATACTTTATTTTAACCCATCATATATATATTGCAGACATTCTCACTTTTTCAGACATTCTATGTATAATATCTTCCAACGGATTTTTCCCTTCAGTCCGATTAGTTATGTTATACGCACCTTAGCATCCAAGTGACTGTTTATTGCTCGATTTTTCCATACTGTATATCGTTTGTAATTATCGAAAACGTGACGATAAATATATCTGACTTTCGATTGACGTATTGTGTCACATATTATAAGAGTCTGTGGGTATATATTTACTAAAACATAAATATTTTGACTGTGAAAAGAATAATTCCTATGGTATTTAATTATGTGTATTCGTGTCTGATAATTGGCTTATTGAAATTTTCTGGCAAAATCATCATTTTCGACGCACAGTAGATATATATATAAATTGGTTAAAGTGTTTATATTTATGGAAAAAAAATGTTATTTAATGTTAGTGTCACTTATATTTAGATCTTTTTTGCCCAATCGTTTTGTTTTCGTTACGATAAAAAGATTCTACGTATATATGCTATACATATATATATATATGAATAATTTATATAATTTATAAGATAGAAACATTATTTATATACAACTTGCATACATATATATATATATATGTATGAGTTATATAAAATATATGAAGAATAAAATTATATACAGCTCATTTGTAAATTTTAAAAATATATTGTATACTATATAAAGAATCGTATTATAATTATTATCATTATTATTATTATTATTATTATTTTTTTTTTTTTGTAATCTTTTAATATGTATATAAAATATAAATCACAAAAACACAAGCTCATTTATTTATTGACCTATAAAATATAATATATGATAGGTATTACTACTTTATTATAAGATTCACATGTCTACTGTAATATGTAAATGTTTTTCCATGACTATATTATATAAACTATAAATGAAAAACTATTTTTTGTTTTATCGTTGTCGTCGTGTTAGAATGTCTTTTTCTTTTTTTGTATACTCAAAGAAAAAGAAAATATTTTTAACTTGTGTATTATACTTATATACTATGTATAATATATTATTGTATACTTTAAGAGTCGCTACATATATTTTCAACCTTAATTGTTTTAAAATATGTATTTCTTTTCTTTTCATTTTTCCTTTATCATATATTCATGTTATACTTGTTATGCTGTGTCTAACGAAATACGATAAGTTTCAGTATAGTTGACAGTGTTATCATTAAAACATACTGTGTAATAATATGAGCATATTATAAATTATTATTCAAACAAAAAATAATACAAATAAATTAATATAATATGGAGAAAAGCAAATCAAAATACAAACCGTCATTGAAACAAAAGGGTTTTTATTTTTCTAATATTTAGTATTGGTACCTTTACTGGCTATATCCGTGTATACTATTAGTAAAGTGTAAGTATACACTTACAAACACTGTACTTAATAATGTAAGTATAACACCAGTATCCATGCCTTATAGAATGCTTTTCAAAAGTATTTAATAATTATCTCTTGAAAAAAAAAACACTATATCATAAAAATGTTTAACGTTCCTCTATTTTTTTTTTTTTTTTATACTTAATACCCGACAACCAGCACTTTGAAAAACATATTAGTAGGCAATAACCAGATAGCTATAATGACAACTGTTAATTATTTTCTTTGAAACAAGAATAAAAGTAGTAAAACCATAATTATGGAAAATGCGAATCTAAAAATAAAACTCAATAAAATTGTCAATTACTGGTCAACAAACAATGTAAAGAATCTATTCCAATTAACCAATATGTATTATATTTTATCAAATTTTTAATAATATTAAATTAGGTTCCTAAATTCTGAATAATGGATGGTAGATGCCTAAAGTACTTTAATATATCTTAGAAGTTATAAATATTCCCGTATTCATTCTAAAAATAACTTTAAAAAAATATTTCACTTAAATACAAACAATTCATGATATATAAGTCAATACATTATTGAGATTTTGCAAACTTTCATGATGCTATTATTGAGCTATAAAATATAAAAACGTACCTATAATAATATTTTTGCATTTTGGCGCGTATCGACAGTGTACCCTTCTCCGCTAGTCGCTACAATCCTATGCAACGAGACGGATTCTTGGCAACACGAGCAAAGACTATAATATGTATATTGTTCTTTTCTCGAAACTGAGATTTTAGTAATATGCCAATGCGAAGAGAGCAGTCTAAAAATTATAATATTATTACTATCATAGGTTTTAGGTTAACATAACAAAATACAAATATAGATCTCGATAATATCATTGATATCATCACGGAAACACCAGTTCATGTATTTATTGTGATATAATTACGAGATCAGATAAAAGCGTAACTTTTAAGAAAAGTTAATTAACATTACCAGTTTTTTTTTTTAAATTAGCATCCTCATAATTCATGTTATTTGTGAACTATATTTTTTTTATATAAGTATGGGGTTTCAGCACCCCTTCCTCCAAGTTTTTCATTTAAATCGTGCCATTAATCAAAGATACACGACACAAACGAACAGAGACCCATTACTATTAAGCTATTGGATAGTACATTGTTTTAAAATCGTTTAGCCAATACAACTGATATCATTGTTAATCGTAAAATCATAACATATTTTTTCACTCGTGTTTAAATGATAACTTCTTCATCGCTCAGAAACTTCTGTGTGAATTAGAGCCGTCGTTTCAATCCCCGATACGTTGTCAAAAATCATATGTTTAGTGAACATAGATATAACGTGTATTATGTTAAAATCAATATAGAGATCCAAGAAACGTTTCAATAAATATATATAATCCAATGCCCATTGCGTACGCCTTATGCTATATTTATAAAATATTCATTATTATCACCATTTCTTCCTTCATATTATTAACTACTGTTACTATTATTATTATTATTATTATGATTGTTATTATTATTATAATATATCAAGTATTAACTATTAACACGATAAAAGTTTACCATGATCGACCTTGGATACGGCCCAGACGGTATTCCGGCGCGCGACAACAATGGTGTTGACGCGCGCGTGGTGGTGAAGAGAACGACGAAAAACAATGGTCCGCGCGCAGCGAGTGCGTCTCGCGTGTACGCGTACAGGTACCTACATAATATAATGTATTAGGTATATTATAATATACCCTTTTGTTTTTATCTTTATCACTCGCGCGCGCACATAATATAATACTATTACAATAATATTGTACATACAAACCGTATAATTAACTCTTTCTACGCGTGCACGCGACATGTAGGAAATCGACACAAAGAGATCATGACACAGGTAGGATGGTAGGAATAATAGTAATAATAATAACAGAAATGTCGTATTCGCCTATTCGGTGTAATACATGCTGTATGCTATAGTATTATATTATGTCCGTTCACTCGTCCACGCTCATAAAATTTTCTATTTTCGCAGGTTTTATTATTTTTCCACGATCATATACCTACCTGCACAGATGAGATCAATGTAAACTGATTATAAAAACTGAAAATAACACTGATTATGATCTATACGATCTTCGCACACCTTATAAATAACGTTACGCACTTGATGTGTGCATTTTATTTTGGCTACTGCTACGGCGAACAGTTCATAATATTATCTTACACAGAGAGCCGCGTCGGCGTCACGTAGGTATAATCACCAGCTCCGCCGATCGTTCGTTTAGCCTGAGTATTATAGTACCTATAGATGTATACTGTTTAGTATATATTATACTTATAACTTTGTACACAGAATGGCGGTAATGGCAATCATCCTTCGCTAGTTTTCCATAATAATTTTCAAATTCCGAGAGAATTGCATGAAGCCTTATACAAACGTGATTTATTACACATAGGCGTAAAAACATATGCTACTCAAATTCCACAGTAATTTTGATTTATAAGTGTTTATAAATATTTTCTAATACACTTTGTTTGATCGCCGAACATAGATTATAAATTAAATATTGTATAACCATATTGTTAGTTCTCGTATACACCAGCCACCTATAGTGTATAATAACCTATATACTTTAAAACGTCCAAGCTATTTTATCACTTAGTAATTTTTTTTTTTTTCTATTTAAAACATCAATACAAATTTTAATAACTGTGGATATCCAACAAATAAATTAGTCATTTTTAAAAATATATCGATAAGGAAAAACCGTAATGAAACATTCTGTATACAGCAGGCAATATATCTATCACCATTTCCATGTGCTTATATTACTTTATAAAATAATATATTATTCATAGATAGGTACTATAATATATAATATGATTGAGGTTTATAAATTTGTTATTTTTTTTATAGTTGATTTTTATAAATCACATATGACATCGGACATATATTATATAACGCTCGTAACTGAACACACGTTTAAAATATATATCGAAAGTCGTTGTTGCACAATTCCTGAAAGTGGTAAACATTTTTTTCAAATAAAAAAGCATATATATCCCAACATATAACCTACATATATGTATGTAACTATACAGGTATACGCATATATATGCGTAACTGCAGCAGTTGTGCTTCTCGTATAAAATACGTCTTATAACTGTATAAGTATTGTGCATCAGTGTGAGAGCCTCAGAGCGTGTTTGTTTTTGTGTGCAGAGACGTTATATTATTATTTTAATCGTCTTGTGCGGTTTGCGCAACATTCTAGTGAGACACTGCAATGCCTGTCGAGATGTGGTATCGCAGTATCGCACAAATCAAAATAAAACCATCTATCAAACGGGTGTACCAAATTTAATGTCATGAATAGAAACCGACAATTCTGCATGGTCAATTTGACATGAAGAAATAAAAACGTGATACAGGTATGATAATATTATTATAATATGAGCAATGGGCATGCGACTGATGAACGTATAAATAATTTTTTTTCTCTTTTAAATAACAGGTCCAGTGACTTCTGTAGGAATATGTTACAAAGTGTAACTTAATATAATAATCCATTTATAATTGAATTATAACTATATAGCACCTACATCAGAGGTGGAGTGAAACCCATTTGGCTCACTGTTTAAAAACAAAATCTTTCCCTAACATACAAAATAAATAACACCTAATGTACAAGCAAATTTTACCTCTTCGTTTTTTAGTTTATCAATTCATCAATTAATTAATATAATATGTATTTTTAATACATGATTTAAGTTTGAATTCCTTAAATTTCATTATGCATTTATTGTAAAATGATTTTTTTTTTTTTACTAATGTTTCTAGAAATAAATTATGATAACAGTTTGAAAAATCTTAAGTCGAAAAATTAATAGTAATTTGAAAGATTATTATTTAATAATTAAATAATAAGAAAATAAAAATACAATTTATGAAAAAATTATAAGATACTTCTAAAAAACTTATCATATCTTTTTTACTTTAGACGTTGACAACAGCCTGCAAATATAAACCATTTTTTTTTTTTTTGTAAAAAGTAAATGAGAAATTTGTTTTTTGTGAAATGAGAAGTTTTATCATTAACAAATTATTT